ATATATATTGTATGAAACTGGCTTTCACCCAAACCCTAAATATTTGCATCTTCTTATCTGCCTGGAAAACTTGATGTATCTTGAGGCACCAAGTGAAATTTTAACTTTTTGTCACTAGCAGTATATCTTGGTTTGACAATTGGTACTATTTAAGGATTTTATATGCTTGCTTATAAATTCTTACTGGGGGACTGTTACAAATAATGCCCCCCCCCGGCCAGGTACATCCATGTTTATGTTGTACAAAAGAGCCCAATACTTTCTGAAATACTGTCTAGTTTTTGCTGCCAGTTGCTTCTAATTTTTTTTCCCTTTCGACAAATGTGTGTCTACTAGACTGTATAATGGCATGACTGTAAAAAATGAACGAACATCTACAAAGGCAGTCACTCCAAGAATACATACCAGTCTGTTAATTTCAGTATAGCTTTATTCCCAGTTAATGTACCTGCTTCCAGAAAAAAGACCATGTAGTCATTAATGTACTTTACGTTTTATCACTTTCCCCACACACCTGGCTAGTCAAGCTTTTCAAAGAAAGTGGTAATCTGCATGAAACTCAGTTTTGCAGGTCATGTGCTACAGGGGTCATTGTTGACATGATGGCAGATTTCCAGAAAAATTTTAATTAGCAATCAAACAGATGAAAGGAAAACATGATGATGTTGGGATCATATGCCTACATTTTATTGAGATGTTGTTATAGTTCTTCTTAGTTAAGATGGTTCAGAGGGATAACCATGTATGCAGATGCCATTACTCCTCCTTGGCCATGCAGGCTCTGGGAAACAAAAGAGGAAACTCCAGGAAGTAAAAAACAAATGGAGCTTTGAAAGCGTGCATTGTGTATTTTGTGTGTTTTGGTTGGCCGATAAAGGTATTGCTTTTTTGTGGATTTTGAATGTTACTGTATTTTGCTGTATGGCCAACATGGCTAACCCTGGATATACTTACAAAGAACTGTATAATAGTTTTGCAGGTCTATATGATGCAAAGCTTTTAGTAGGAAATTCACTTACAAAACAATGCAACAAACTGCAGACATAAAAAGGAAGCTTATAGGTAGCAGTGACACACAGAGGCATTCAAATAAATAAATAAATAAATTTTGTTGACTTTACTTAGGCCCAAAATGCAAGGGGCAAAAATAGCAGCTTCTGCCACTTGGGGGAGTGTACCATTTACATGATGTACACCTGCAAAGTGCCAGAAGCCACAGTGAGGCCATGTCAAGCTGGGAAAAAGCCGGCTCTTTTAGGAGTGGATTAAATCCACTCCTGCCAGCGGCCCGTGTTATGTATTACATTAGTTACATATCTCTTTGAGTAGAATATTGGATTATCAGAGCACTTCTAGAGTTGCAAGCAGGATGTCCTGATGAGTAGTATAGTTGAACCTCTGATTAGATATTCTTAGTGAGTTGATCAGTTCCATTTTTAATATTCATATAGGTATTAGACTATGTAGAGCAGGGGTAGGCAAACTTTTTGAGCCGGGGCCGGGTCACTGTCCCTCAGACTATTGGAGGGCCGAAGTAAGTAAGTAAGTAAGTAAGTAAATAAATAAATAATAACTCCTACATACCCACTTTGGCCAAGTCACACTCTCTCAGCCTCAGAGGAAGGCTATGGCAATTTCTCTGAAGAAATTTTGCCAAGAAGACCCCAAGAAAACAGCAACAAATCAGCATCAATACAACAACAATTAATAATAGAAATTTTGCCAAGAAAACCCCAAGGGTAAAAATATCATTATCATCATCAACAATTAAAAATGCTACCTTAAATGAAACAAACAAGCGAAGGGGTGGCATGAGTGAAGCACGTGTCTGAGGCTGGAGTCTGGAGAGCTGGCCTTGAATCCCTGCTTGGCTATGAAAACCCACTTTGGCCAAGTCACACTTTCTCAGCCTCAGAGGAAGACTATGGCAAACCTCCTCTGAAGAAATTTGGGAAGAAAACCCCAGGATAAGGTTTCCATAAGTTGGAAACGACTTGAAGCCACACAGCAACAAGGGGGGCACACTCTCTCAGCCTCAGAGGAAGGCTATGGCAAACCCCCTCTGAAGAAATTTGGCCAAGAAAACCCCAGGATAGGGTCTCCATAAGTCGGAAACGACTTGAAGCCACACAGCAACAACAACAACAACAACAACAAGGGAGGCAATAGCAATGGCAAGGCCCCCCCACCACGAACCAACCTCTTTCGTCGTGGCTCTGGCTCGTTCTCACTTTCCTCCCTCGCGTGCTCCCTTCTCCCTCTTCTGTTTATGCAGGGCTGGATGTTCGTGCGCGGAGGAAGAGGAGGAAGGAGGAGGCCACACGCTCGCTGGCTCGTGCGCAACCCGGCCGCCATTTTGTGTCCCCCGTGGCGGGAAAGGTTGTGCATGTCTCCGGCCGCCATTTTGGAACATAAAATGGCAGCCGGAGACTCACACAAGAGAGAAAGACGGCGGTGGTGGCAGTGGCAGTGGCAGCAGGAGGGGCCGTAACAAGGCCTCGATGGGCCGGGTTCGGCCCACGGGCCGTAGTTTACCAATCTCTGATGTAGAGAGAACCAGTGTGATACAGTGGTTTGAATGTTGGACTATGATTGGAGGTCAGGGTTTGAATCCCCACTCAGCCAGGGAAACCCACTGAATGACCTTGGACAAGTCATACTCTCTCAGAGAAAGGCAAAGGTAAGCTCCCTGTGAACAAACCTTGCCAAGAAAACCTTGCGATATGTTTCCCTTAGGGTTGCCATAAGTCAGAAATAACTTGAAGGCACACAATAAGAAGTCTAGGTAGCTTGCAGGATATAAAATTATGTAGAAGGTATGTCTGGCTCCTTAATGATTCTGAGATTACAGAATTGGGAACCAGTTGGAGGGCAAAAAATAAAATTTGGCCTGTTCAGGTTTCTCAATAGAGTGTTAAAATGTGTGTGCTCTTGAGAGCCCTGTTGAGGTATGTTTGAATTAAGAGGTTTGTACATTGTATTTTCTTCTTATACTAACAATGAAATTAATAAAATACCTGTTGGTGAGAGATGAAAACATGTGTTGGTGATTGTCCAAGTACTTCATTTACCAACAAAGAGGTGAATGATGGTGAGGGATGCAGTTCTCTTTGTGATAGTGCTCTGGCTTTGAAATTCTTTCTAGAAAGAGTTTTGCCAAATGCTGACATTGCCCATTTGGTGCCAGGCAAAACAATGTTTTAAAATTGTTCTTAATTGGGATTTTGATTCATCTGGTTGATTTTGTGCTTTGGTTCTTCCACATATGATGTTGAAAGCTATTCTGAGATTTTTTTCATAATGAATGGGATATTAAAATATTCAGATACAATAAAATTTTGCATGGAAGAGGTTTGCAGAAATGTGGGCTGCAAGTGACAATTGCAGAATAGTTATTTTGGATTAATTATGCAGTGTTTTAAATAAAATGTGCTTATGTCTTCATACATATAACTGCAGTGGATTCATCTTGTACAGCTTTCACATACAAACATGTGCATATCTTATGAAGCCACTGAAATTAATCATGTCATGTGACGTTGCCTTAAAATTAAGTATTTCAATTCTCCTGTTTATCCCAGCTGTCTAGACAATACCAAAGTAAATGGCCTGTGTGACTTATAAGTAAATCAGTAGAAATCGCTTGTTGACAGAAGATATGAAATTTTTAGCAAGACATTGTAAATCTTTCATAAGAAGAAAATGGACTCTGGTGTCCTATGCCTCTCCTTTGTGTCTCTTTCCTGTAAAATCGGCCTGAACAATTGCTTTGGCCAGATAATCTTAATATTTCCACTAAAATTGAGATGTAAATCAGACTAATGAAATAAATGCTTTGTGCTTTCTTTTATTTTTTAAAATTAATGTGGATCCATTCTACATTTGGGGACTCTTTCTAGAAAATAACATGTTTTCTTGCCTCCCTGACATCATCAGTTTTCTTTTTCTTTTTCTGTTACTATTCGTATTCTGCTGATATATCAGGTAATGCTTGAATTTGTCTTAACGCTACTTATATTTCTGTCATTATAAGTGGGTATACTTGAAAATGGATTCGTAAATTGGCATCAAAAACAATGATTTGTTCATTAGAAGATGTGCTGCTATGAAATGACAAATACTGTCATAGTTATTTTTTCTTTCTTTTTCTTCACATCTCTTTATCAAATTCAAAATCTAGTTACAGCAATCTTTGTCCTAAATTTGTTTTTATAGAGGCTCCCTGTTAAACAGATTAATCCTCACGTCTTCTGATTGCATGAATTATACTCTGTTATTTGAGTTCATTGTAGGATTGGTTAATAATTAGGGCAACTTGTGGCTTGTTTTCGGCTGAAAGGATTATTGTTTTACTTAGGATTCAGAGGTTAGAATTGGAAAGAGTTCTAAGGAGCTAGATATGTTACAGATGGTAAAACATTATTAGCAGCTTTCTAGACAGCTTTTTAAATGTGATAGGTCATAGTAGTAAATGCTCTAACTTTTATTATACATACCCACTGAGGACACTGCTGTCTAATACAGACATTTGTTAACATATGTGGTGTATCAAAAAGCAGGTCCTTGTTTTCCACTGAATGCATATTGATTTTTATATGTCATGCCCATTGTGGCATACTGGTTTATCTGAAAGCAGACTACTGGAAAAAGGTTATGACCTATTGACTAAATGTGAGCTACTTTGGAAAAAAACTATTTTATAATAGCTGCAGTCAACATGTTTTATAATGAATTAGAGGTTTCTTCTCTCTTAATATTTCCAATTATGAATAATTGAAATTATTTTAACATACAAAATCCTATGCACATTTACCTATCAGTAAATACCATTGAATTCAGGACCAGTGAATTCAAGACAAGTATACATATGATGGTTGTTGTGTGCCTTCAAGTCATGCCTGGCTTATGATGACCCTAAGGTGACTCTATAATAGCGTTTTCTTGGTAAGATTTGTTCAGAGGAGGGTTTCCATTGCCCCTGAGGCTGAGAAAGTGAGACTTGCCCAGGCTGAGCTGGAAATTGAACTCTGGTCTCCAGAGTCATAGTCCAGCACTCAAACCTCTATGCCACAATGGCTATCATGCATATGATTACAATAAGAAAATTTTTATGCCTCAGAATGTTCACATAGTGTAGGAAATGTGTATAGATAGTAACGGGATTATTGTGCATTTTTCAGAGTGAAAGAAGGAATTTACCACTCAGTTCTTTTCTGTTTTGAAGAATTTATAGCCAAAAAAGCCTAGTACTCTGGAAGAATGCAAGCTATGGCATCATGGCAATTTAATGACCTAATAAACTAACGTTTAAGGAAGGTTAAAACTTAATGCAGGCTCTTTCTCTCAGTTGTTTATTATTAGAAATATTTTACTATAATGCAGGAGTGAAGAAACATTGGCCCACTGGCTATTTTGGACTACATTTCCCACAGTTCTTTAGCATTTGCTATGATGACTGAAGCCTTCAAGCTGTTGAAAGCCGATAGGCAAAAAGATTTAGTCCAATTAGTTTGAATTAAAGTTGAACCAATTAAGCAGTGGGGTTTGCACAACTGTTAATTTGCTATTTATTGGTTGATTCAGTTGGTCTGCTGTAGTTGGGACTAAAAAAGTTTTTAAAAAATATTTTTTAAAGTTTTAAGTTGTCAAGTTGTCAAGTTGGATAGTGGTTGATAAGGGAGCAAAATATTAACAGTTTTATTTAAATTTTCCTCTGCTATCTGTTTTTGCTTATGATTGCAATTCTTATATTTGGTTTCATTAAAAATTCTTAGTTGTTGATCTTGTTACGGGTAATGTGTGTGCGCATATGTATGTGCCTTCAAGTCAACTCATGGTGACCCCATGAATTTCATAGGGTTTTCTTAGCAAAGAATATTCAAAAATTGTCTACCAGTTTCTTCCTCTGAAATATAGCCTACAGCACCTGGTATTTGTTGTTAGTTTTCCATCCAAGTACTAAACAAGGCTGACCCTGTTTAGATTCCAAGATCAGACAGGATCTGGGGTCTTTAGGGTTAGGATCCCCAAATGTTTTTGGACTAAATTTTTGCTTTGATCTTTGTCTTGCTTTTCATTTATCTAGATATTATCTGGCTAGTAGTGAATTGACTGAAGATGAATTTTGTGGTGCAAAATTCCAGTTTGTAGTTAAAACATAATGTTGTGTGAGAATGAATTTCACACTCAAGATTGTTAACATTTTATGTTGAGTCCTGTAATTGTATAACTTCCAACAGTGTCTGCAAACCAGGCAAGAGAGGCACATAGGCGCACCCTGTAATTTTCTGTTCATTTTCCCTTCTCTGAATGAAAGAGGTGACAGGCTCTAATTTTCTATGTAGCCTCTTTTCCATTTGTCTTTACCTTATGGCATTGTAATCTTGGATGTCTTGTTTTCTTCTCTTTATTCTGTTAAAAGCTTTAGCAGTAGCATATGTTGCATAAATTTTGTTGATTTGAACCCAAGTACTTAAAACCTACTTGTGTGGGTGGATCATTAAGTCTTTGTACTGTTTCATTTAAGTAATTGTGCTGTAGATGTGATTACCGGTATATGGCTTTTAATAAAAATATGAAACATGAATTCAAGAAAAATATGCATTTGCATATCATTTGATTTGTATTGTACACAATAGGTTAATGCAGTAGTTTACTGCAAATATATTTCAATGAAAAAATTACTTAATTTAACTACATCGTAGTGGTTTGAGTGTTGTACTACAACTCTGTAGACCAGGGTTTGAATCCCTGCTCGGCTATGAAAACCTACAGGGTGTCCTTAGGCAAGTCACACTGTTTCTGCCTCAGAGAGAGGCAAAGACAAACACCAACAACAGGTCACGAATTTGAGCGCCCTTTGGAGAGTATCACACACAAAATTTGGGCCAAATCTGTGTTGGGTTACATGCAAGTTGCAACCACCAACCTTACCACATTGCTCCATGGCAGGGCAGTAGATAGCCTGTATCCAACCCAGGCTTCTCCTGCAGTTTTTCATGAATAGGAAAATCCTGGGCATGGAGTAATGTGGTAAGATCTGTCGCTGACAGTTACAATCCGCATGTAACCTGGAGTGGATCTGGTACGTATTTCGTGTGCTATAATCTTCTTCATAAGGCTATCTGATGAAATAAAATACAGTTAGACCTCTATATCCACAGATTCTTTATACACAGATTTAAGCATCCATGGCTTGAAAATATTCCAAAAAAGTATAAATTCCAAAAAGTAAACCTTGATTTTGCCATTTTATATAAGGGACACTATTTTACTACGCCACTGTATTTAATGGGACTTGAGCATCCACAGATTTTGGTATCCACCTGGGGGTCCTGGAACCAACCCCAGTGGATAACAAAGGCTCACTATATAGGATTTTGGGGAGGAAACAAAGTTCAAAAATCTGTCCATATATTGTGGTTATTGTCAGAGTCATCCGTCATGGTTCTCTGCCATGTTAAAGTTAGGCTTGTTTTGCCATGCTGTAACCATATTGGGAGCCTGAGAGTGAGCAGCTGTGAGGATTTGTTGTGTGTGAACCAAAGTCATGGGGTTCCTAGGACTCTATGGGAATGGAATGTGAAAGGAGAAGGGAGATGAGTCTGGAGAGGGTATAGAAGTGAAACTTAGCTTGTTAACCCAGATCTGGCAAAAGATGTGCTACTGTGCTGATCTTTTTCAATAAACTTTTTCTGGTTTCATGCATGAAGCGTGTTCATTGAGTTAGACAGAGACAGTGCATTACAGCTATTGTTCTCACAGGCCTGCACTTTCATTTATAATATGGAGGTTGCAGAGATTTAGGGATTTAGACTAGAACATCCCAGATTTTCATTTTCCCCAGTTTTACGGATTGGATTCCCCGCCCCCCAATTTTACAGATTTTATAGAGATCCATACATGTTTTGTTTATCAAATAATCAAAGCCTTTTTAATCCAGGCTCTCCCCTTTTATACCAGCTTTTTATACCAGTTTATTTTAAAACTTAATGAAAAAAAAAAAAGGATTGTAAAAGTGTCAGTTTACAGAAATCTCCATGTAGACAAAAATGTTGGCTGTAACTCAAAATTTGTGCATTGCTTTGATTGAAGCATCCTGATTCCTGAGATGATTTAGAGGGAGAGCATAGGGTAACACATAATCTTTATATCAGCAATTCTGGAGATTAAATGTAGATATTTTGCTGAGTTAAGCAAAGAAAGAAAGATTGGTTGAAACATTGGTGATGGTTAACAACAGCAACAAAAAATCCAGGATATGTAGTAGCAGTGTG